CCCGTATCTGGTCTTGAAGAGGAGAGAGCGAAGTGGACTGCTTCTGGAGTGACAGGAACATGCGGGATCGTGGGGGGAGTCCCCTGGAGGGAGAGAAGCGATTGGGGGAAGGGGTAGAAAAAGGCTTTCCGCTACAGGCTGCACTAGAGTGCGGGGGTCCTGGGGCTGGGGCTGCAGAGAGGGATCGCGCTTTGCGATAAGCGGAGACCCCAGTTTTGAGCAGGGAGAGGCCGTGGGGAAAGCGGACGCAGAGCTCGGGGTAGTGAGGCGAGAAGATTCAAGGACAGAAAACCTAGGTAAAGCGAAGCCTGGAGGTGCCGGAAAATGGAGAGTGGACCAGCTTGCAGAAGGTGCCAGGAGCACGCGGGATTGAGGGGACAGAGAGTGGGGCGGCGAGGGGTTGAAAAATGCGGGGAAGAAAGGGGCGCGAAGTCGTAGGGAGGGGGAAGCTAGTGAGAGAGAAGCGGACCCCCAGGGGCGGCCGGGGATGCCCGCGGAGGTGCCCTGAGTATTTCGCACATGGACGTGCGAGGAGGAAGCCCAGCCGAGGAAGCGAGACCCCAGGAAACCTAGAACACTGGGTCGTGGGAAGGGGTTTCCAGCGTGGGAAAGGCGGACCGGGAAGGGGGCGGAGGAGAGATCAACCGTGCCCTGCTGGCAGCGGCGAGCCCCTCACGCCGCGGGATGGAAGGGAGTGGGCCGAGCGAGGAATCTAGCGGCAGGGGGAGAAGTGGATGGGTGCGACTCCACAAGATGTGGGTGAGGAAGCCCCACGTGGGTGCCACGCGCGGGGGGAGGAGCTGCGCGTCCGGAAGAGGAGAGGAGGACCCCGCAGAGCTAAAGGCTGAGAGTCTGGACCCCAAAATGCCAGTTCCTCTCCAGGAGGCTGGGGAAACCCCAGCGTCCGGCCGCCTCGCCCGCCCGCCCTCCCTTCCCTTTCCTTCCCGTGCCCTGGGGGGGCGGGGATCGCGCGCGGAGCCTGGGGCGAGACGAGGCAGGTCCGGTCCCCGCCCTCGCAGCGGCGGCGACTCGGGCCCTCTTCACCCCAGCTCCGGGCGGGGCTACCGCTGGGCCCGCCCGATCGGCGCCCGCGCAGGGACCCAGGCGTCCGTCCCAAGTGGCCCGGAGGATTGAGGCGATCCGCCTCCTTTCACTTTCCCTCTTGGGCGGTGGACTTGTGGGTCACCAGCCCCTTCGTACGCCCAATTGTGTCTCCAGCCAAACGACGCTCGTCCCCACCCACATGTGCGTCTCGTCTCACCTCTTCCGTCGTCGCTTCACCCTAGGTGTAGAGATTTCTTTAACACATCTGAAACCTTCAGCCTTCTCCTCCCGGATTGCCTCCATCTGCCCCCAAACCCTCTGTTTCTTCTTCCCGTGTGTCTGTCAATGTGTCTCCATCTTTGTCTTTCCATCTCTCCTGCATCCCCATTAGTCTCTGTCCATGTGTGGTCTCCCAGTGTCTGACTCTCCCTCTCTTCCCTCTCTCTCTCCGGCACCTTCTCCCCACTTCTCCCCATCTCTGCGGTCTCTCCCTCTCTCCTGCCGGTCTCTGCCCCTGCTCTCTCTCTTCCTCCCTATCTGTCCCCCCGCCTGCCTCTGCCCTTCCTCTGGGGGTTGCTGAGTAACTGCTGGGTCAAGATAGGGCTTACTGCGGGGAGAGGCTGGCCCGGCTGGAGTGGGGAGGAGTAGGGGAGGGGGCCCCGCAGAAGGGATTTCTTCCTACCGTTCTCAGCAGATCTTGTCTCCATGTCCCTACCCCTTCTGCAGTTGCCCCAGTTGATCCAGGAGTTCGTGCTCTGCCTCCTCAACCCTAACCCGGAACTTTTCCTAGACTAGTGAACACTCTTCCTAATTTCCTCCCCACCCCTAAGCCATTCCTACCTAGAATGAACTTGGCCTTTTCAGCTGAGGGAGGAAGCAATTAATCATTATCATCATCATCATCATCATCATCACATGAACAGGGAGGCGGCATGGCCCTAGTGGTTGAGATCATAGTCTCTGGAACCAGATTGCCTGAGTTTGAATCCCGTTCTGCAGCTTCCTAGCTATGTGACCTTGTCGCAAATTACTTAATCTCTTTGTGCTTCTGTTCCCCCATCTATAGAATGGGCATAATAATAGTATTTTCCTCATGGGGCTGTTGTGAAGTTTAAATGCGAAGTGCTTTGAATAGGCAAGTCGTGAGTGCAATTTAACAGAGTAGAGTGAGCACTGTGCGCAGACTCTGTGCTACATGCATTATCTGCGTCATCTCATTTCACACTCTCGTTCTGTCATCGGTCCTTGTTTTCCAGGTGAGAATCTGGCACAGAGAGAGTAATTTCACTTGCCCAGAGTTACACGGCGCTTCAGTTAGGAGAGCCGAGGTTGGAAGACGGGAGCTTGATGTGGCTGCCACTTCCCAAAGAATAGGAAACTGAGGCTCCGGGAGGGATGTGACTTGCCAAGGTCACCAAGCTGAAAGGCAGCAGAGGCATGGTCTGCTCCAGATGCCCTTGACTGTACACTGTCATTAACTTGCATTTGAGACTCCAAGCGCTAGGGAGGCCTGAGCAAGCAGAGGAGACACCTTTGGTGCCAGCGTGTACCGAGTGGTTCCTTTACAGGTGATGAGAGAGAAGAGTGATTAGGACTGTTTTGCAGAGGAAGAAGCAAATCCAGAGAAGGAAAGCATTCGCCCAAGGTCACATAGCTAAAAGGGTCAGGATCGGACTCCAACCCAGGGCTATCAGCTCTGGAGCCCACGCTCTTAGACTTGGGGTGTACCAGCTCCCCCGCCCCTGCCACACCCCTGACGTCCCCCTTCTCTGCTCTTTCTGCCTAGAAATCTACGAGACATACAAGCATAATTCACACAGCATATACATGTTCTTCAACACGTCCGAGCTCCGGGAAGCGGTGTCGGAACCCGAGTTGCTCTCCCGAGCAGAGCTGCGTATGCAGAGGCACAAATTGAAAGTGGAGCAGCATGTGGAGCTGTACCAGGTGGGGCACAGGCTAGGTGGGGCATCTGGACTGCGGGGCGCTGCAGGGTGCACACAGACGGACCCTGCAGGATGGAGGCACACGGACCATGGGATCAGAGGGCGCTCTGAAACTTCAGACTCCTGGCCCCCTAGAATGTTAACCACTTAAAGGCTGGAATCTTAGCAATTGGATTCTAGGATGCAGGACTCTTGAAAGTTGAAATCTCTAGAAAGGTGGGGGGTTCTCAACTGACTGTGTCCCATATGAGAGCCACTAGCACGGATGGCCATTGAAGTTGATGAAAATTAAATGAAAGCAAAAATTCAATTCCTCAGTCTTTCTGGCTCTATTTCAAGTGGCCATAGTCACATGGGGTCAGTAACTATTTTAGACGCCGCAGATAAAGAACAGAGAGGTCTCTTGGATAGCTGTGTTCTAGAAGATTTGGAGTCTTCAGGAAGATCGGGGCCATCAGACAGGCCGGCGTCTCTAGAAGGTCGTGTGACCTGGAATCCACGTTACATGGAGCTTTGGCTTTGATAGGAGACGTTAGACTCTTACAGGGGAACTTTGGTGTTAATTTTGCAGAGTCTAGAGAATCCAGCTTTATGCTGCTGGCCCTGGAACCTTCTGTCCAGCCCCATGGGGTCATTCCCTACGGATGTCAGGCGTCTGCAGCTTCTAGGTCTGTGACATGTCAGACTCCTGGATTTGCAGAATATTACTCTCAGAACTTCTCGGGCTCATTGACTGTGTAATCCTTGAGGTGCTGTCAGACCCTGGAGTTACAGAGTAATTTCTAACATAAGCCCCTAGAAAGTTAGAGACTCAGAATTCAGGGTGTCAGATTTGCAGAACTATATGCTGAGTGAAGCCCAGGACGTCTGCAGGAGAATCTGAGCACTGTGAGCTTTCCAGGCCGAAAGGGGCCTGGTGTTTCACCAGTGAGGAAACAGGTCTAGAGAGGGAAGGGAATTTCCACGGCCCCAACGGGGGGCAGGGGCCAAGGCTGAGCGCTCGGGTGCCTTGACCCGCCCCCCGCCTGGAGCTCTTTCCTCCTCTTCTGTTGGGACCCTCTGGGAGGGGACCGTTCGAGGGGCTGTCTAAGGCCCATTTAGAGGGAGCACATGAAGCGGGAGGTGTGGTCAATGATCATGGGGGTACATGGCAGCATCTTCCCACCATCTTTCTCCTCTCATTCATCATCCCCCAGAAATACAGCAACGGTTCCTGGCGCTACCTCAGCAACCAGCTCCTGGCCCCCAGCGACACGCCTGAGTGGCTGTCCTTTGAGGTCACTGGAGTAGTGCGGCAGTGGCTGAGTCACAAAGGTGAGGACCGATGTTCTGCTCCACCCCTATTTTGCAATGGAGTCGACCCCATTGTATGTCCCTGAGCTGCCCTGCCTAGCACCCCGCCCCCCATGTTGGTGCCAGATAGCTGAGACCTGGCCCTCTCAGGCACTCAGACCCCAGCAATGAATGGGTTGGTCCATCTCCTGAGCACCTGCTCTATGCTGGGTGATCCTGGGGACACAGCAGTGACCAAACAGCACCATTGTTGCCCTCACAGAGGTCGTGGTTCTTTGCTGGGGTGCGGGAAGGGAATGAAAGACCTGTAAACCAGGTAGTAATGACCTAGAGTGGGCAGGCCTGCGGTGGGGAGCCCAGTCAGAGGAGGTGCGTGCCCAGTCTGGGGCCAAAGAGGCCTTCCTGGAGGAGGGGACATCGGAGCTGACGTCTGAGGGCAGAGGAACAGGCTGTGCCGGCGACAGCCTGCCACATCTGACCCGTCCGGAAGAGGATGGTGTCTGTCCTGTCCCGGCTGAACCCACAGCACCCACATGTCTCTTCCTAGTCTCCCTCTTGTTCATGCCTCCATTCAATAAGTGCCAGTAGCTCCCTGCTGTGTGCCTGGCCCTGTGACAGTAGTACAGGAGACACAGTGATAACCAAGACGACTTCTAGGTCCTGTCCTCCTGGGCCCCATGGTCACTTTCAGACACTTAAGTTTTGCTAAAGTTCTAACCGGCGGTGATGACCAGAATGACCAGGGCCAGGATCGGGGAGCCCAGAGCAGACACCTCAACCCATCTGGAGGTGGCGTCCGGGAGGGTTTCCTGGGCGAGGGTGATTGTGTTGAGACTCAGTGGCGGTTTGGCCGGATGAAAAGATGGGGCTTAGGGAGCAGGTGGGTCCTGGAAGGAGTGTCCGGGGCTGCTGGACAAAGGCCTGTTTGGTCATTGCTGAGTCCAGAGCACCCAGTATAGGGTCCAGCACATAGAAAATCACTCCTTCATTGAGGAAGCCCTTCTCCCTCAGCTGCCCTGCAGGGTATGCGCACCCCAGCCCTGCTTCCTCCCACTTTGGGCAAGTCATCTCTTCTCTATGCCTGGGCGTCGTCCTCAGCTGTAAAATGGGGGTTAAAGGACATAACGCCCACCGAGCATTTAGAACAAGCCTGGTGCCCAGTGTGCGATCTGTAGACGTCTGTTTTTATGACTGTGGGCCAGGCCCTATGGGGAACAAGACGAGGATCCCTACCTGCCCCCCCACCCCGAGCATCCTGCTCTCCATTGAGAACAGTGAAGGAAATTAAGGGCCAAATACAAATGTCTGAGGGGGTCAGTGCTATGGAGAAAATAAAATGATGTCACAGTGGGGGTAGGGCCTGCATCTTGGAGGGCCTCTTGGAGGCGGTGACGTTTGAGCTGGAGGCTGAGGAGGAGGAGGCAGCAAGGCAAAGAACTGGAGGGAGAGGGTCCAGAGAGTGGGCAGGCAGGGGAAGGGGCAGGAAGGAGCCCCATGGTGTTTGCTTCTTCCTTCCTCCACCCTCAGGGGCTGGGTGAGCGCACCCTCACCCTGGCTCCCCCCTTCTCCCTCCCACAGGGGAAATTGAGGGCTTTCGCCTCAGTGCCCACTGCTCCTGTGACAACAAAGATGACATACTTCATGTGGAAATCAATGGTGAGGCCCACCCCTCTGTCCCGGTGCCATGCGCAGTGCGTGCACGTATGTGTGACCCCTCCTCCCCCTGCCTATCCCCCCATTCGTCCACCTGAGAGTGTGTGTGTACCTGTCGCCCAACCCCCACCCCGCCTCCACCACCTTCTGACGCCCAAACTGAAACAGGAATCAGTACGGACCGCCGGGGAGACCTGGCCACCATTCATGGCATAAACCGGCCCTTCCTGCTCCTCATGGCCACCCCTCTGGAGAGAGCCCAGCACCTGCACAGTTCCCGGCACCGCCGAGCCCTGGACACCAACTACTGCTTCAGGTGAAGACCTACGCCTTCTGGCCCGGCGGCCTGACTAGGCGCTGTAGGGTGGGCACCTGGCTGGTGTCATGCTTGGGCTGGTGTCCCCTTCCGCTTGGAGGGCTCGGGGGATAAGGGGCACGTCCTAGAACGCTGGGGTGTGCAAGCTGAGCGTCCTAGAATGTTCAGAGCAGGTTGCTTTTCTGCTGGTGTGTGGGAATCAGAGGTGATTAGAATGTCGAACACTGAGCATGTGGGAATTCAAGTTTGGAAGGCTGCCATGTTCGAGATCTGTGTTGGTGGCAGGTTAAGGTTCTAGAATGTTGGGATTCTAGGATGCTAGAGTTCAGTGTTAATTATTGCAGTCTGACAGTGTTGGACTCAAGGAGTGTTGGGAGCCCCGAATTTGGGAGTTCCGAATTGGAACGTTGCCTGAGTTGGATTCCTGTGCCATTGAAAGATTGGAATCTCCGGTGTTGGCTAACTGGAGTCCCCGAATCCTGGGCTCAGAATGGTGGATTCCTGCGTTAAAATATAGCATCCACAAATAGAATTGGGGAAAGCCAGAATTTTGGTATCCTAGAGCGTCGGGGCTCAATGCTGGAATGTTAGATTCTTGGAAGGCTGAGATCTTAGAAAGTGGCAGCTTGGACCTCTTGAGTGATGGGCTCAGAACTGTGGAATGTTGGAATGCCGTATTGCAATATTGGAATTCAAGAATGCCAAGATCCTCGAGAGTTGGAATGTGGGACTCCTAGAAAGCTGGAAAAGCCTTCGGAGTGTTAGAATCTTGACATGCTGGACTACTGTAGTCGGCGAAAAGTCTAGATTTCTAGAATGTTGAAATTCGGAGTCAGAACGTTGAGAATCCAGGATGATAATCTGATCTCGTCCCTCCCCTGCTTAATACTTTGATGGTGCCTCTAGGCTTTGTCACATGCTATTCCCCTGCTGGAAAGTCAGCTCCGCTCCCAGGTCCTTCACCACCAGATCCTACCCTCAGCCCATCAACCCTCTGAAAGAATGGATTGAATCCTTAAGTGCCAACTGCTAATGATATTACAGAGACAGGCAGCCAGCCCAGTGAGCCTCCACGGAGAGGGACCCAATATCACCTAGGAAGTCTTGCCAAAAAATCAAACCTGAGGTTGATCAAGAAGATAGAGCCAACTACCAATTTTCCAGAAATATAGGGAGCGTGGAACGTGTTAAGCACGTGACTGCACCACAGGCATGCAGTCAGCGACACCTAGATAGCGGGAAACCTGACTCATTCTTATCAACGGATACAATGCAGGGGGCAGGAATAGACAAAGACATGGTTCTGTAGATTTCTAAAAGAATCTTGAGAGATACATCAACCAACTGCAATGCATAGACCTTATTTGGATCTTTCTTTTTACAGACTCTTTTAAAAAAAGACATGAGACAGTTGGGGAAATGGGAGCTCTAACGAGATATTTGCCGATATCAAGGAATTATTGTTAATTTTTCTCATGTGGTATTGTGGTTATGTTTTGAAATAGTCCTGAATTTCTTGGAGATACATATGGAATTATTTGTGGGTGAAATGATAACGGGGGAGAGGAAGTGGGTCGGGGTAGAGATACAGTGAGTTTGGCCAGGACTTGCCGAGTTGAAGCTGGGCAATATAGACATGAGGGTTCAATTCAGTATCTTCTGCTTTTGTGTGTGTTTGAGGGTTTCCAAGAGCTTCGGTGAGGGCCCAGACTGTGCATGTCACTGGGTCATCTGAAAGGCGTATTAAATCTGCCCTGCTGTCCCTCACCCCGTTTCTGATTCAGGTGTGTGGGGTGGAGCCTGAGAATTTTCATTCCCCACAAGTTCCCAGGCAATGCTGCTGCTGATCCTTCTCGAACCCCATGTGGAGAATGGCTGAGCTGGGTAATAGAATCACGGACAATCCAAATCTTAGGACCTCAGAACCCCAGCCAGAGTTGGACTGGAAATGAAAGATTATTCTGGACAGTAGTTCTTCCACTTTTGTGAGTCCAGGACCCCCTTGAGAAGCCAAAAGCCAAGAACCTTCTCCCGCAGAAATGTGTGCACACATACACACACATGTGCATATGGTTTGGGGGACTTGGGACCCCCCCGAGCCTATATACGTAGACCTCCCGATGCCTCCTTGGCCCTCAGGTTATCATCACCTTATTCGATCCAACATTGCCCGCATCTTTCATGGGGAAACTGAGGCCTAACCAGACTGTGGATGCACGAGGCAGAGCTCAGGGATCTGTATCCTGACTCCCTTTTCAGGGCTTTTTGGCTCTTGGAAGGACCTTGTCTTGTCCCGGGGAGATCCTGTGTCGTCATCTCTTTCCCCTCTGCTTGAGCTGACACGGTCGATGAGGTCACAGGCTCTGGGCTGGCACAGAGTCGGCTGTGAACCTGGCCCCGAGCACTACACCTTACACACTGTATGTGAGCAGGCAACATTCTTCTTCTCTGAGGCTGTTTCTTCATCCCTCAAATGGAAATAATAATGAGGCCTGCCTTGCAGGGTTTTGAAATTAATTGACGAATTCTCTATTGATTATGATTTGAACAGGTAAATACATGCGAAGGACCAAACCTAGAAAGGCTCTCAGAGACCTTCCAGCTGTGACCCACCAACCTCTCTCTGAAGAGGCAGCCACTTCTATTATATTTGGGTCAAACTTCCAGAGAGTTTTTGCAGGAGATGCTTATACATTTCCATATATATTTTTATTTTGTCCAAATGGTATTCTCATTTTCTTGAGGGGTGGGAGACTGCATTTTTTTCTTTAAATTTTTTTTTGATTCTAAAAGTAACACAATATCCACTGTCGAGAATTTGGAAAAAACAGAAGGCTATCACCCATTATACTAAATATAAATGTCACAGAAATATAAATATAAGAGATATTACCCATTATACCTCATATTAAAAGTCACTGTCAACATTTTAATATAGTTCCTTCCAGTCACTTTATGCAAAACAGAATATTGGTCATCTGGTAACCGTAGCTTTGCATAGTATTTCTTTCATATGTTAGGAATGCGAAACATAAAATGTTCTTGGCATCCCATGAGTCAAACTTTTTTGCCAGGCTCCCTGCCCATCTCAGCCATAGCCCCAGGGGCCTGCACATAAAATCTCCCAGCTCCTTTCAAACAAGCAGAAGCCTGGGCCCCAGGTCAGGGGGACCGGCCTTTGCATCCGAGCATGGGACAGAGATTGCGAGTCCAGAACGGTGGCATTTTATACACCACTATTCTTCGACTTGCTTTTAATAAACCTAACATATTAAGCAATTAATTTATACACCCCATATTTGCAGAGTGCTTACTGCGTGCCAGGCACTGTTGTAGGCTCTGGGGATATTAGGGAGCAAAACAGACAAAAAGTCCTGTCCTCAGAGAAAGACAACAGACAAACAAATGGATCTCAAATAAAAGAGCAGGTCGCTATGAGTTCTAAGAAGGAAAATTAATCAGAGGGAAGAGACAGAAAGGAAGACATTGGGGACTATTTTTCCTATTCCAATTAAAATGTTTTTATTATGGAAAATTTCAAATGTATATGAAAGCAACTAGGATAGTGTAATGAACTCTCATCTAGCTTCCACGGGTATTAAAATTTTGTCCCACTTAAAATTTTGTATTTTCTTGCACACCTGCAATGCTGTTATTACACGGAGTGGAATTAACAATCTTTTGGATTGGTATTTTGGATAGGATGGTCCAGGAAGGGACCCTCTGAGGAGATAACATTCATTTGACTATGTATTGAGCGCCTACTGCATGCCAGGCCGTTCTAAGAGTTAAGGCTCCCTGAATGAAGGACATTCGAACAGACATTTAAATGAAGTGAAGAAATGAGCCAGAGAGGATATCTATGGGAATAGCAAGCAAGTGCAAAGGCCCTGGGGTAGGACTGTTTGAAGGACAGTGAGGATGCAGGAGTAGAGTGAGAGTGGAGAGGCAGCCGAGATCAGCCAGATCCAGTAGTGCCTTGCGGTTCATGGCGAGGACTTCAGGCCTTTGTCCTGAGTGAGACGGAGCCATGTTCAGAGCAGAGGAGCGATATGACAATCTCTAGCATGTGTCCCCAGAGGGCAGGGACTAATTGACTGTACTGAGTCCCCGATCCCAGCCCAGCAGTAGCTCGATAAACATTTGTTGCACACATAGAATGCATCAGTACATGTGGGGCTGCACTGGTTTTCACGTTCCAGTGCTGATGCCCCATGATTTATTTAGCCGTCCCTGTGGATGGTCACTTGGCTTCTTACAGGCTTGCTCTGAGTACTGCATGAGATACTGTTTATCATGATGCTCTTTGCACAGGGCTTGACTAGAGGAAGTGCTTTATCAGTGTTAGTGATGATCAGACTGTTGCTGCTTTTATCCCAGCGGGGCAAGGGAGACCATGACGCAGCCATGTGGGGGGGAAATCAGGAGTGAAACAAACAGACACCTGGGGAGGAGCGGCATGGGTCCTCCTGACCTGGATTCCTCGCCCCCTCGCCTGCAGCTCCACGGAGAAGAACTGCTGTGTGCGGCAGCTTTACATTGACTTCCGCAAGGACCTGGGCTGGAAGTGGATCCACGAGCCCAAGGGCTACCATGCCAACTTCTGCCTCGGGCCCTGTCCCTACATTTGGAGCCTGGACACGCAGTACAGCAAGGTGCGTCTGGCACCCCGGGCTGGAGGTAGCAGGGAACGAGGGCGGGGAGGGAGAAAAGTCAAACCAGAGATGAAGTGGTGAGATGCGGGGAAAGAGAGACACAGGGAGATTGGAGGGGTGGTGATGAAGAGATGGGAGAAAAGCTAGAGACAGGCCCAGGTTGTTAGAGACGTGACGCAGAAGAACATAAGAGATTCGAGAGATTCACGGA